GAGGGAGCTCTCCCAGGTTTTGACTCAGCGGCAGATGTACATTCAGCCCGATAACTAAACCAGCTCAGGTATACTTCCACGCCTCTCTGTCCCTCCCTGTCCCATCCTCTTCCTCCCCCCTCCTCCTTTCCCCTCCCCTCCCCAGTACTGAAACTGGCTTACGTGGGCATCTTGGCACTAAAACCACCACTCACCGACTGAGCGCATAGATCCGCATGACAGAATTCGGCCTTCACGCCAACTAACTCCTAATTCTTGCCAAGTCCCGTTGTTGTTGTTGCTGTTGTTATGTTGTCTTTTAAAGGAAAAGGACGGAGGGAGCCTCCGGATAACCATCGTTTGCGCTCCTTGCCTTGCGGAGATCCTTGCTCTTGAGAATGCCGACAGCCATGTGGGCGTCTGTTGTGTGCGGGCTGTGTGTGTCAGGGGTCTTGCTGGTTTTCTGTGAGCGCGCATGCGCCTTCCGGGCAGGCGGGCGGGGCCTCCCGCAGTCACCGCTACTGGTTTTTTGCGATTCCGGAGAGAACCTACTGAATCCCACCAGTGGTGACGGGTGTGGTTTTTGTGAGTGATTTTCAACCCGGGAACAACAACAACAAACCCACCCCCCACTCACCCTCGACCAGGCTGCCGTGTTACAGAGAGTCCTTGTTTAACAACCGCTCGGAGTTACGACGGACCTTTCACACACACCCTCTCCCAAATGCTAACAAGGATGCAATGGAGGTCAGCTACCGTGGATCCGGTTACGAATCCACGGAGAAGCGCTACCTGATGTGTCGGAGATGCTGGTTTTTTTGGGGGGGAGGGGGGAATTTGCCGGAAGCCGCCTCCGCTGCTCTTGGCCCCCTCCCCAAGCCCCCTTTCTCCTTCTAACCCCCTGCCTATTTCCTCCCCCAGGTCTGTGCAGACGTTTGCGGACAAATCGAAGCAGGAAGCTCTGAAGAACGACCTGGTGGAGGCATTGAAGAGAAAACAGCAAAGTTAGAATCCAGCGTCTCCCCTTCGAGGATGCTAACAAGACACGCCATGCACTCATTAGCACCCCCACCCCTCCCTAAATTTCTTAGGAATCTTTTTTTTCTTCCTCCCCACCTCTCTGGCATCCTCCTCCCACCCCCCCTTGGCCTCCTCCCCGTTATTTTCATTTCCTGCGTACAATATTCTTCCAGTCATAAAACATAAATAAATAAAAGCCTGTTTTTTTTTCCTCACCACCACCCCAAATAAAGTTGTAAAACCTTTTTTTGGGGGGCGGCGGGGGGCGCTGTGAAGGGGTTGGGGCTCTCTAGCAGCTTAATTCCCACTGTCTTATTGCCCACAGCCTTGCAAAATGTATTTTCTGTTGATTTGTGCCCTTCCCGGCCTTTTTCGACCCTTCCTCCCCCCCCCCTCTCTTTCTTCTTGGGCCTTACGTTTTATCCGCCTAATTTCCACCGATCATGTTTTTTTTTCTTTCGATTTCTTGGTGCGATCCTCCCCGGCTTCCCACCGCTCTTTCCATATTTTGTTATATTGGTGTAAAAAATGTACAAGAAACAAAAAAAACAGAAAAAAACCCTTTATTAAATAACCATGGTTTGTGAAAGGAAGGAAGGAGGGAGGAGAGGGGGAAAAAAAATCCATAGTGGAAAATGTGTTTGGTGTATGTTTGGAAGAAAAGTTGAGAAAGGAGGACGGGGGGCGGGATGTGTGGGTGTGTGGGGGGTGCAGGCAGCGGCCAGCTGCCCCCCCCCCCCTTAAGGAGTGGTTCCCAAACTTGGCAACTTTAAGACTTGTGGACTTCAACTCCCAGAATTCTCCAGCCAGCTCTGCAGAGCTGGCTGGANTACTGCTTCCTTTCTCTGTCTATCGGCTCGTCACAAGAGACCATCCACTATTTAGTGACACTAAATATATATCAGTTTTTCATTGTATCTTCATGGAGCCAAGTACTTCCCCCCCCCAACACTTCCCCCTTCAGGCTCCACATTGAACCTCCTCAAGCAGCCTGTGAAGGTAATGGAACGGTCCCTCCCCAAGCGGACGATGCCTCTCAAGTTTGGGTGCTTCAAATTCCCGGGATCGGAAGATTAAAATAAAATAAAATAAAACGAAAACCTTCCTTCCCGCTTTCCACCAAACAGCTGTTGCATTTCTGTAATCTCCTCCACCTTCTCTCCCATTGTCAGTGCCTCTCAACAGCATTTCAACAATGTCCTCTCTCTCTCACCGGCTTTAATCTGCAGTGGGTCTTTCAAATTCTCCCACCCACCCCCAAAACCCCACCCCTTCTGGGACTGTTGCTTCCAGATGTGGAGGGAGGGAAGGAACGGCACCACCCGCCCTTCCCCCTTAAGTTTCCCCACCCCACCCTACTTCAGCACTTGGGGACACCTGTGCCCTGTTGTTGGGGGTGGGTGGGTGGGAGGAGGGCGCCCAGCTCTTGCAAACATCTGGCCTTGAGCCGAGAGCTAGTTGAACACTCTGCAGAAGGCGCAGAAAATGCCCAAGCACAAGAGATGGGAGCTCCCGGAGGGCCCCACCAGCTCTTCCTGTCCCCCCCACCCCCACCCCATCGCACACACCCAGTGAAACAAAGGCCTTAATCTCCCTCCCAGCCTCCCCTTTTGTGTGTTTATAAAAAACACACCGGGCCGGCTAATTGGAGCTGGCACCCAGCCACCAGCAGGCCGTTGCTTGCCTGGAAGGCACGCTGATGAAATTACATGCCCCGTCAGGCACTGTCCGTGCGATGCTCTCCCTCTGCTGGGGGAAGACGCAGAGTCCCCCCCCCCTCCATGTCTCAGGAACATTCCTTGCCTTTGTGGAAAGAGGGAGGGGGGCATCGAGGGACCTGCGCTCCATCCTGGTCTGCTGTCCTGACCGAGGCTTCCCAAAAGAACAAAGCTGACTCGTCTATCCCGATAAAACCCCTTTTATTTAGGTTAAAGGGAATTCCTCTCCAGCAAAGTCTTTCGAGAGATTTCACAACTAGTCTTTTTATCAGGCTTGAAGAGCTGTCAAGCCGATATCTTCTAAACGCCATGCTGTAGCAGCAATTACTTGGCAAGTAGCCAGGGATGGATCTTCACCCGAATGAATTGAACTCATTGTCTCCTGCAAACTCCCCTCCCCTTTCGCTCCTCTTTATTCCCTATGGGGGAGGGGGCCATTAACCGTCCATTTATGGCCTTACTCCGAAGTCGACCCTTGTTCCTTAGTTGTTCCTTTCTCCTGGCAGCTCTCTGCCTACACACACTGGGAACAGGCTCCAACTGTTCTTCTGCCCCTCTGATGTCTGGCTCTGAAGGCAGCTGATAACTGGCTTACGGCCCTGGCCTCCTCTTCATCTCTGACACAGAGCCTTCCCCAGACTCCAGGACTGGCCCATGTTCCTTCTCAACCTCCTCACTGCCTGAGTCTGCCGCTGGCGGGCCACAATACCCACTAGACCCCCTCACTCCTCGGCCCAGAAGTCCGCTGGGCACCTCAGTCTTGTCCCATGTGTGGGTTGGGATGACTGACCATTTTCCTTCTGGTGGGGCCCAGCCTCGCTTCTGCAGTCGGCTGTCTCCCCCTCTTCCTCCTCCTCCTCACTTTTGTCCTTCCTTTCTTCCCAGATGGAAAAAGACGAGACGGTGAGCGATTCCTCTCCGCATATAGCCAATATTGGCCGTCTGGTTGAGGTAAGCCCCTCGAGATGGAGAGAGTCCTTTCTAACACCACCCTCCCCTCAGACCATGGGTTCAGGAAATGGGGCGAAGGCCCCCTTGGCTCCTAACCTTTGACCTTTGCGGTTTTGCTAATGGGCAACTAGTAGCTGAAGGGCCCAGTTGGGCTGAGAGTATGTCTTGGCTTCACACCTCAATTCTAGTCCTCTCTGGGGCATCTAAAGCGTTAATATCTTCACCCCTGCTTTTGCAGAATTAATTGCAAAGGGAGGGGCTGGCTAGCCAGCCAGATGAGGTGCCCACCTCTTGGGTTGGGGGGCAGAGAGAGCGGGGGGGGGCACAGAGATCTTAGTGCTCTTTTTTTTGACCTCCCTCTCCCTGCCACTTTACCCAAATGCATAGAGAAGGAAATGTGTCGCCACTAAACATCGGAGAAGATTCATGCATAAGATATACAGAAAATTATAGTAAAGAAAATATATATTTGATTATTTGTGTTATAACAGCAGCTAGGATCGTATTTGCACAAAATTGGGAAAGCGAAGAGATCCTGACAGAGGAGAATGTGATAAGGAAAATATTAGAATGTGCAGAAATGAATAGATTGACCCTGGCAATCAAAGAGAAAGAACAAACTGATTATTATACAATTTGGGCATCGTTTTACCGATGGTTAGAGAACAGACATAAGAATTAATAGTAAAATAAATTATCTAAAGCAGGGGTAGTCAACCTTTTTGTCCCTACCGCCCACTTTTATATCTCTGTTAGTAGTAAAATTTTCTAACCGCCCACCGGTTCCACAGTAATGGTGATTTATAAAGTAGGGAAGTAACTTTACTTTATAAAATTTATAAAGCAGAATTGCAGCAAATCCCTACCGCCCACCATGAAAGCTGGAACGGCCACTAGTGGGCGGTAGGGACCAGGTTGACTACCACTNGTGTGTACCACGTTTGGGGGATACACACAAACACCCATTTGTAGATAGATTATTAACTTGGGGGAGAATGTTTCCATGTGAAAAGCAATTGGGGCATAACCAGGGGAGCCACAAAATGCATGTATCAATGCCAGCCAGGTCTTTTCCCCCTGGGGAATCTTTTGCTGGACAAGTTTCCTGTGGCCACTGGACATAGGGGCAAAACAGGGGTATGTTGTTGGGGTCTCCAGGGAGAGAGGCACAAGGGCCAGAGGCCAGCGCTTCTGTTAACTTTTAACGTCATCTCCAACTACTGCTAAACTTTACATCACCACCACCTTTCTCGACGGGATTTGAACCCAGGGCAGCCATTGGCGAGGACAGCGTGGTGTCTGCAAGGCGTTTTAAGGCCAGTTTTGCCTCACCTCCCAGCCTGGCGGAGAGTCCGCAGAGGATAAAAGTTTCCTGCTTTTGAACATCCTTCCGTCCCCCAGGTGAAGAGAGGCAGCCCCCCCCTGCCAGGCGGGCGTCAACGTCGCTCCCAGGACGGTGCAGGCGAAGACGGCGTTGATTGAAGCGGAAACTGAGGAAGGGAGAAACGTTGGATTAGGGGTTAAAAGTCTGTCTCGAGTCTTCTTCTTTTTTTGGTCTGTCCCAATCAAACAAAAAGGAGAAGCCGGTGACATCAGCATAAACTTTCCCTAGCAGCCGCTTCGCAAAGCAGAAATACGAGCCAAAAAAACCCCACAAGAATCATCGTCCTCTGCGGCAGGGGAGCGCTATCGCGCGCCATCTACCAGATCTCAACCTCTTAAGAGATCTGAAACGGAAAGAGATACGATCGAGGGGAGACCAGCTTTCGCGGTTCAAAATAAGTCACAGAAAGGGTGAGAAAAAGCTTTCGCCACGAAGAGCAGATGCCCCACACACCGTTTCAATTTTTGTTCGAAGGGGGCAGCAAGGATGTGTCTTCCCATGGCAACTTGGGAGAACCCAGATTTTGGGAGCACCAAGAACCTCAAATCCTCTTGAAAGAAAGATTGGCTTCCCGTTAAAACTACCGTATTTTTCGGAGTATAAGACGCACCCTTTTTCCTGAAAAAAGAGGCTGAAAATCTGGATGCGTCTTGTACATCGAATATTTAGCAGGGGGTTCTCTGCCCGGTTGCTGGGTGGGTCATATCTTGGTGGGCGTGGCCTAGTTAGCCTCCTGCACCATGGCGGGGGGGGGGCGCTTTTCTCAAGCCTCCGGAAGGGC